AAAAAAAAAAAAAAAAAAAAGACACTGAGACAAGATGGCGGGCGGCGCGGAAGATATCGGGACATAGGGGGCGTGGTCAGATGACGTCAGTGGGATGGCCCCGCCCCTCGACGCACAAGACGTGACGCCCTGGGCCCCGCGCGGGCGCGGGCGCGGTCCCGGGGCGGGGCAGTGCGGGCCGAACGGAGGGGCGCGGAGGTGGGCGAGTTGGGGTGCTGCTGCCGGAGAGGCTCTCCCGGCTGCGTTAATCTGCCGTTTCAAAGCCCCTTTGCACAGTGCCACCAGGGAACTGTTGAATACATATCTCCCAACTGCAAGGTTGCATGGAGTTTAAACTGGCCGAACCAAAAAGAACAAGAAAGATCCTTCAATTTTTCACTCCCTTGGGCCACATCCCCAGCTTCTAGGTGCAAGTGACACCGACGAAAAATCAGTGAGAAGCTGCGTCGTTGTGCGCCAGCTGTCCGCCTGCGACTGTGGTGAAGCCAGCCAGCCAGTTTTAGGAAGTACTGAGGCGACGGCACGGAGAACTGGAAGACCAGGGATTTCCTGCCTCGCTGCGTAGCCCCCCTCCCTGGCTGCCTCTGTCCTGATTGGCCCCGCAGCCCGTCCTGCCACGGAGCCGGTGGTCTTCGGAGGCTCGCTGCTGGCCAAGGCGGGTCTCACTGAGTCAGCTCAGGGGCCGCACTTCCTCTGCTCCAGCCCGGGCCTCAGGGAGGAAGCTGGCTGTTCACGAGTCGGAGCTGATGAATATATTGGTGTGTGCCAGATGCCAATTGGTTCCCATCTGCAGTTGACCTCCTCGCGTTTTTAATGGCCCTTGCGTGCACTCTAAGCCTTGTTCTGAAGGAAAGAGGGCATACAAGGCTGGGAATTTCAGTCATGTGACAGGTGCACCTGGGAGAAGGAGCTGCCTAGCTTAACTCTTGAGAGATCTCAAATGACAGCACGTAGTGCACGTCCGCTTTATCATGTCTGCTTTGTTTGTTCATGTATATAATGCTTCAGACAGTGAGGCACTGAACCGCCTTTGTGGTAGCACACACTTGGAATCCTAGTACTCAAGAGAGGGTGAGGTAGTAGCATCCTAAATTTGAGCCTAGCCTGGGCAACTCACCAATTTAGGAATATCCTGACTGAACATAAAATTAAAAAGGTCTCTGAGGATATTGCTCCTGCAAAGGCCTTGGGGGTCAATCCATAGAGGGGAAAAAACAAACAAACAAAAAAATAAGTAGAGAAGCAGAGAATGTTTAGCCCATCTTACGTTTGCCCCAAGAACAGTTACCAGCCTTTTGTTATTCAAAGGTAAAAAATATGTCTAATGAATTGAAAGTGTGTAATTCCTTTTTAAAAAAAAGTACAATTCCTTTTCTTCTGAAAATTGTATTATTATGGCAAAACTGAGCATGGTGGCACACACCTGTAATTCCAGCATTTGGGAGACTGAGGCAGGAGGATCCTTGCAAGTTCAAGACCAGCCTGGGCTACAAAGTGAGCTCAAGGCCACCCTGAGCTGCAGAAAGACTTAGTCTGGAAAAGA